TGTGTGTATGTCTCTCTCTCTCTGACTGTGTGTGTATATGTCTCTCTCTCTCTCTGTCTGTCTGTGTGTGTGTGTGTGTGTGTGTGTGCGTCTCTGCTGTGTGTGTGTGTGTATGGTGATGAGGCAGGAGGTGGTGACCTCCTGTAGCCCAGCAATCAGGACACTGGCGAGCAATATTGTTTTGGCAGATCGTCTGGCCTTCACTGGTGTCTCCCAACGCACCCCTCCCCCCCACCCCATTTATGTCAGAGTGACTTGTTTGCACGCAGGATGCTCTTAAACTCTGTTTCTGAAATATGCTGTGTAAATCTCTCAAAGCCAGGTGTCAGTCTGGCATTACTCATTGCGTTCTTGTTCTGAGTCGCAAGGTTGTGGGCACATGTCCCATGTTGGGGAATTTAAACTCACAACCAAGGTTGACACTCCAAAACAGTGCTGGGGGAGTGCTGCATTGTTGGAAAAGCCACCCTTCAGATGAGACATTAAACCAAGATCCTGTCTCCCTGTTCAGGTGGAATTAAGGATCCACCAAAGAAAGTAGAGGGAGTTCCTCCTGATGTCCTGGCCAACAATCCCCCAGATTCTGTACAAAACTGTTCATTTGTTTCATGGCTGCTTGTGGAATGTTGCTGTCTGCCAATTGGTTGCCTTATTCACCCACAAATAGTCATTTCACTTACAGTACAACTCTATAAAATGCTTTGAAACATTTTGATATGATAAGGTGCTATATCAAATGCAGAGATTATTAAATTAGCAAAAGGTAAAGATTCGATTGTGTAGTACAGGCCAAATGGTGGCCCACAGGCAGCGTCAGGCCTGGGGGATGATTTAATCTATCCTGCGAACATTTCAGACTTTATTATTGCTTTACCTCCCGGCTGCGCCTCTATTCCAGGCAGTCTCTGTGAGGAGCTACAGTGTAGTGAGCTACAGGAAGAGAGTCGCAGTGGGAGTATTTTAAAAAGGTATTCCATATTTTAAAACCACAGAATTTTATTTTAATTTAAATTTTAATTAACTTAATTATTTTGTTCACTTTCAGTGTTTACTCTGGATTTAATGATTATTCTTGCAGCTATGTACCATATTGATAATTTATTGTTTTAAAATTTATATGAATTTTCATGTTGCACATTTAGAGTTTGCATTGTAAATAAAATATAGTGAAATTACTTTATACAGTTACACAATTTAAACCATAGGATTTCCATATGATTTTTATGGGTTATGTTTCTGGAAGGGAAGGCTAAAATATTGCTTGTTGCCTCATGGATGTTTCTCAAATCCAGCATCCAGCCCTCAACAACCAAAAGGTTGGACTATCTTGGTGTAGGATACTGACCAAATGACTTGAGTAAATTTGGAGGAAAAACATAACTTTTTTTAAAAAAAAACAGCTTGCTTTGCATTTTAAAGAAGGAATGGATTCCATAAAATTGAATGTTGTTCTCAAAGTAAATCAATAAGTAATTCTCGAACTAGAGTTGCCCAGAATGCTGGTAGCCCATATTGTAGCTATGCCATTTCAAGAGCAGCATATCCCAGGTACTGCCTCAAAATTGTTCTCTAGTTAAACCCAATTTAAATTCTAAATTTAGTCCCATTGAATAACTAAATTTTCAGTATGCAGATTTTAAAAAAAACCTTAAAACTTTAATTTAGTCACATCTGACTGTTTAGACACTCAATTTCAGGGAGAAATTGTAAACTCAAAATGGGTTTGATATTTTTCAGTGCAAATTATTTGTGCTGGATGAAGAGCTTCCTCTGGTCCTTGGTTTTAAGTCTTGCCTGCTGATTGCATGGGAATGTTGTTGTACATCAATGGTCTGAACCAAGACTTTAGAGGGTTAAATTTTTTTCGTAGATTGTTTTCATAGTAGAATAAATCCTGGGCAGCATTAAAGGCTTTGCAGTGATAAATCTTACTGAATTTGTTCAATCTCTGATGATAAATCCAAATGCAATGTTTGAAGAGCTAAGCTCTTTCAGACTAGACTCTCCATAATTGTCAATACCACAGCAGTTTTGTCAGTGAATGGAATGTCTTAACGCCTGTAGTCTCCTTGAGTAAAATGTTTTTGTGCTCTTGACTATGACTGCTGTCTAATTGTCTTATTTTGCTCTGTTTGTAATTTAAACCAATGCCAAGACAATATGTGCTTTCACACCAGCCTCTGTTCCATCCATCTGCTGCTTAAATACAGAATTTGTTTGCTGGATTCTTCCCGATTTGATCTTAAGGAAATTTTATGTTCAAGGCATTTGGTAAAATCTTAAGTTTTCCAGATGTGAAATGTTTGAAGGTTTGCGTGATTCACTTGATAAATTCCTATCACGGGTTGCCTGGCAGTTGATCATGTTGATCCTATTTTATACCTGAGCTCCTTTTTCTCTTTTATCCCTTGGACCCATTCCTACTCTCAAACTACCACCATATCTCCAATCTTCCTTTCCTCTCCAAGGTCCTGGAATGAGTCATTGCTTCACTCCTTCCCCTCCGGCCATTTCCTTCGCAAATCCCTCCAATTGGGTTTCCGTGCTGCCCACAGCACAGGAAAAAACCCTGGTCAAAGTCATAAATAACATTCTGTCCATCTGCGACCAGGGCACCCTCTACCTCCTCGGCCTCCTTAACCTCTCTGCTGCCTTTGACACCGTTGACCACTCTATCCTCATCCTGCACCGTCTCATGCGATGTTCCTCAGGGTTCTTGGCTCCTTCCTCTTCAATATCTATATGCTCCTTCTTGGTGACATCATCTGCAGACATGGAGTCAACTTACACATGTATGTCGATGACACCCAACTCTACCTCTCTGCCTCCACCTTTGACTCCAGGACCACTGCTGTCCTGACAGAATGTCTGTCAAGACATCAATTCCTGGATGAGAGCCAACTTTCTTCAGTTGAACATCAAGAAGACCGAGTTTCTCCTGATTGGCTCCCGTCAGCACCCCCACACCTCAGGCGCTGACAGTATCACCATCTACGGTTGCACACTGCACCTTACTAAGCCAGTCTGGAACATTGGCATCCTGTTTGACCCTCAACTATGCGTTCTACCCCACACCTGTGCCATGAACCGCTCTGCCTTGCCCCACCTCCAGAATATTGCCCGGCTCTGCTACTGTCTCACACCTCAGGCTGCCGAAACCCTCATACACCTTCATAACAGCGAGACTTGACTATGCAAACTCCTTGCTTGTCGGCCTCCCCAACTCCTCCCTCCATAGACTACAGATAATCCAGAACTCTACAACCTTTGTCCTCTCCCGCACCAGGCTCCGCGACCCTATCACCCCCATCATCGCCCGACTCCACTGGCTTCCCATCACACCGAGGATACAGTTCAAGATCCTGGTCCTCATCTTCAAAGCCCTCCATGGTCTTGCTCCCCCTACCTCTGTGTCCTCCTAATATCCTACCACCCTGCTTGCTGCCTCTGCTCAGAAGGCTTCAGCCTGCTTATGTATCCCGCCTCGCTCGCCCCACCATTGGTAGGCGGACCTTCTGCCACGCTGCCCCCACCCCCTGGAACTCCATCCCGCAGTCCCTCCGCCTCCCCCCTTCCTTTGCCTCCTTCAAGACCCATCTCAAGACCCTGCTCTTCGACCCTCCTTCCCCCCCTTGCCCTTCACCCTCCCCAATCTCGACCCCCAAGCTTGACTGTCAGTGCCTTGGGACGTCCTCCCGATGTGAGAGACGCCATACAAATGTAATTTTGTTGTTGTTATTGCCCCACTCTTTCCCATTCAAAAGCAAAAATTGCTTGAAGCATCCCCCACAGAGGATTTATCAACACACTTAGGGCTGAAGGAGTGATAATCATAGAATTTTATAGTGGTGAAGAGAGGGCCCATGGTGCATTTACTGGCTCCCTTCAAGAATTAGAAACATTTGATATTTTGATATTCAGTAAAAAGTCTACTTTACAGTTGTAACACATTTTACTTAGGCTCTATTTAACTTGCTGTGTAAGAGATATGAACACTTGTGTTTTAAAATGTGATCAATGACTGCTTGCAGAGAATTTTCCCATTACCCAGCTCATTCTTGATCATTATTGAATTGTGCCTCATTTCATGGAAGGATGAATCCCTGGAGTCAAATAATTTTGCATCTCAATTGTATGTTTTTCAAAGCAAAGAGGGAAGCCGCATCATGATTTTAAAATAAAACACTGAAAAATGCTGCAAAGTTTGATATTATAATTCAACCACTTTTCTATGTAATTTGAGTTGAGCTGCTTACACTAAATGTACTTTATCCACAATCCATAATGATTAAACTGGCTCCTCAAAGTAAAAAAAAAAGTTGATACAGTGATCAATTTTATTCAAATAGGGTCTCCCACTCTTATTGTTTGGATCAGGTGGTCAAGTTGGTCATTTGAATGATCCCAACTTCACCACCTGATCCAAACTTAATACTGTGTTGCAGTTGATTATGAAAACTCCTTGGCTGTTTCAAGTCCAAATCCCTGACTGTCCAGGTTCTTGGGATGTCCTCCGATGTGATGCCCTCCAAATGTAATTTGGTGGTGGTGGTTGTTGTTTTTGCCTTTCACCTAGTAGATAGTTGGTTTTGATGGCAACATGCACAGTAATATCAATTAGCATATGTGATTATTGGGCAAGAACAGGATTTATATACTACTGTTGACCCATGATTGACTAGCTTGATGATGTAATATTCTCAGTTAAGGCATCAAAAGGGTGTGGCAATGTCTCTCCAGCATGAAATGTATTGTGTTGTCGTAAATGCGCAAAGTATGGATTTGGTTCCAGGAAAAATTAACTTGTAAATACATGGAGAAAAAGTAGAAATCTTAATCCAGCTCTTACTATGTACAAATCCATAAACTCAAAGCATAGGGAGGGGAAAGGGTGTAGCTGCCTGCTAAACGGTTGCAATTTGTTTCATAATTAGCTGCATTTTTAGCAAATCCATTGGATAGTTTGAATGTATTGTAATTAATTCCCCTGTTTCTTTCAGTTCTTATACACCACAAAAGGAAAGAAACTTCCTGATGTTTACGCAGTGGAGAAGATTGCATTTGCTTTTTAACTACTAGACAAGAATCCATCCTTCTACTATATGGACTCTAGAGAAATTCAAATTGCTAAACGCTGATTCTAACAAACACTCTGCTCGTGTACTATTAAATCTGCTGTTGTGTTTCAAATGAGGATGACCTTCTGCTGATTTGGAATCTATACTTTCAATGGAAATCTGTAAAATGAGCATTGAGCCCAATCAACAAAGCACATATACTTGTGGAGAATGCTCGGATATTGAGATAGAAAATGACTTTCATCGACTGATTTTTATTGATGATCAAAATGGCAATGGAGTCGATGACAAAACCAGAGAATCTCAGGAAACTATCCATGATGCCGCCTTGTTGAATAATAGGAACTCTGTAAATCTAGATGCTGTGATTACACCCTATAATATAACCATGGAAGATGAAAAAGCCACTTTTGAAGAAAACATTTTCAGAGTCCCAAATATAAGCAGAACAGAATTGGAAATGTTTAGAGGCTTTGATAGTGAGCAGAGAGTGTACATTAGTGATGAGATGCTAAGTACCTCTTCAGATAATGCCAATCAATCCATGACTGGAATTTTTAATCAAGATATTAACATAACAGCTGAGCACATTCTGCGTATTCCAGAAAACCAACAGAACAGCCTTGTCAGAAATGAAGCACAAGCTTTAAATGAATACCACATAGCTGATCTGGAACAAAGAATCAACCCATGTGTCAAAAATGGAGCACATGTTGCACAAGATAAAGAAGATAAAGATATTCTAGAAAACCATTTCAAGTGTTCTAGAAATAGGAATGATGGAGGCAACAGGATACAATTTGATGAGGAATATAGTCTGGAATATTTAGCACTACCATCCAAATTTGAGATGAAAAGCAATAGTACATACGGCACTGAGGAGTCCTCTATTGAAACTTCTGGATTTCCTGTTACATTTGATAATACTGCTGGATCCCTTGAAATGTCATCAAATGTCTTTGAATGTTCAAGTGATATTGAGAAAATTGAACAGGAAGCACCACTGACAAATTATCTTAATTATAAAGAGTGTGCATTAGTGTTGCTAAATCATGATTATGAACTGGATAAAGTTGAAAAATTGCTTTTGCCAAAAAAATTGACAAATTGGAGTACGAGTGCAACAAAGTGTCTTAATTGCTGTCAAAATGATTGCTGTAAGGAGGATCAAGATAGCCACAGCGTTCCAGACTCTTCCTGTACAGGTGAACGTGGAAAATATCAAGTCAAAGAAACTCAAGCTCAACAGCTAACAGTGGAAACTCAATCTTGTCAAGAATTGGGTTTTGAAAGGCTTGATGCTGGAATAACTCAAGGTGAAGTATATGAAAACGTAACCTGTGAGAAGCCAATAATGTCAGAAATGAATACTACCTACTTGCTGGGAAGAATTGAAGCTGATGTGGACTTAAATCCTAACCCTGAACTGATCTGCTCAGAGTTGGCACTGAACCCTGAAGAAACCCACAGTATGAATGATACAGTAATAGCTGTTGAGGAGAGTTTCGATAGAACATTTTTGGTTCTCAGTCCAACAGTTCAGGAATTTGGGTATCGATATTCTCAAACATCAACTCCGTTGGTAGAGTCCAAAACTTTCTTCAGCCCACCAATTCAGGATGCACAATATTTTGTTGATGTGAATGGCTGCCCTATCTCTACAATAGAAGAAGAAACACTTCCAACAAACTTGGCACAACAACTGAACACAGATATCTCTGAGGAGAAACCACCTTTTAAAATAACCAAATCTAGCCCAACTATGAAAGCCAAAGCTACAAAAGTAGAGATCAAAAATTATCCCAAACCTAATTTTAATAATGTCAAGCCCAAAGTTGTATCCAGATCTGAGCAGACATCAACAAAAAATACCAGGTCCCCTTCAGCAGGGGGTTCATGTAAATCCTCTCCACGATCAACTGTTTCCATCTCTTCCATTCAGTCTTCATGTTCGTGTCATTCACCAAAAAGCTTGAAAAATGAACAACATCCGAAACCATCAATCAAACCAAAGCCTGTATTGAAATTTCAGAGAGTGGTCATTCAGAAATCTCTCACTGTTAGCAAACCACCTGTTTCTGGCAAGGCTGAAGTCCATAGCACAAATTTGTCTGGGCGAATTAACAGAACCCAAACCAGAAGAGTCCCAATTTCTATTCCTGGAGTAGATGCCAAAGAAGGACCTAGATCTTCGCATGTTACTTCCATTGTGGCTAATAATAAGCTTAGTGAAACCTTTATAAGTGATGGAATTGAGAGGATACAAACCGAGCATCAGGTGACTATGTCTATTGAAACAGCAAGTTCACAGCATGATAGCTCCACCTCCGAGGACTCCCTGGCTCCCCAGTGTGGTTCAGTTTCTCATGCTGGTTCACAATCTCAACTTCCTACTGCTAGGGTAAGTATTAATATGATAATGAAACTTTTGGGGGCTGTTTTTCTTTTTGGGCAGGAATGCAATGTTTGGGAATGTTTTAAATGCAAGTACAGTTGATGATTTCATGATTAAGTGGTGTCATATTTATAGGGTGAAATTATAATCTCAGATTTAAAGGTGGGTTCAGGATACCAATGAATAATATGGTTACTGACTATCTGGTATCACATTCTTACCAGGTACACCAGAATATAGTCCATCCAAATTTATTTGGCTGCTAGCTAGGCTCTAGCTTTTGGAATAAATTTAGTTGCAATGTTGAGTTCTGTTGTCTCAGTGGCTAACCTGACTGTTTGACAACCTATTCTGCTTATAATAATAGTCCTTGCATTTGGTATAGCACCTTATGTCAGGACATCTCCAAGCACCTCATGGGATTTATTGAAGTGGAGTGACTGTATTTATAAGCAAACATGACAAACAATTACGCACAACAATGTCCTGCAAACAACCATGAAATGAATGACCAATTTTATTTGGGGGATTGTTGACCAGGACACAAGAACAAACTCCCTTCTCTTTTCGAATAATGCCATGGGATCTTTAATGTCCACTTGAATAGGCAGACAGGACCTCAGTTTAATTTCTAATCCATAGTTTCTACTTCATGGTCCATTATATGGCATGCTTTCTCTACATGTCACTTGTAAGTCAGTGATCTGGAGCAATATGCATGGTCTTCACTGCTCAGGATCCCCCACTGTCATTTCAGTGTACTCATTTTGTTAAATGAAGGAATTTCAATGGTGATTATCAGCTTCAGCTTTAAGCACCTCTTTGAGCACATGAACTCATGTGATTGTCCCAATTTTGTTGTCCTCTGCAGTTAAATCATTTCAATGCAACATCAATGATATCGATCCTCCTCAACCTCTGCCGGGGAATTTTCAGCACGACTATGGAAAATTCTGTTGTGTTGCTGTGAATCAATCAAATAGCACAGTGAACTTGAAAGATCAAATGACCTCCATGTTTTAAGCTCTGAGTGAATTTCAAATGTCACCTGAAAGGTTTAAATTATTACATTCCCTTTGTTTTTGTTTGAGAATGAGGTTTGGTCAGCCAGTCTGATATGTGCAGAAGCCCATCACCATTTTTAATGGTATCCAAACCAGACTAAGTTCCATGTGTGCCACTTACACCTATAAATTCCTATGTCTGGAATTGAATGTGCACTCTCTCCCCAACGGGATACAGCCTGTTTACCTAATTCCAGAGAGTTTTAGATGCTGGTTGGTGAGTTCTGCTGGAGTTTAACCAGTTAAACTGCAAAGCTGGCATTGAAACTACCCTGTGGCAAACTTCCTGTTGCTTGAACAATTTGGTTGGCTCTACCTGTTAGGTCTTTGGGTTGTAGGGTTAGGAGGAGCTGGGTGAGAAGAATCCCTGCCCCCAGTGACCCGTCTGCCCCTCCAAGTCCTGTTGATGAGCCAAAACTTCAACAGTAGTATCCTGGAGTACTGTGGACCCGCCTGATTCAGGGACCGTACTACTCAGATCACCACAGAGAATTGACTCAGTTATGATGTTCTTTTGCCAAGCTTGTTCAAACTTTCCTTTCTTTGGCATATACATCTGGAAAATCATACCCATAGATTGTACTAATGAATGCTCTCTGCAAAAGGCCTTGGAATACTTTTCCAAAGGGAAAATTGTTTTACAGATTTTCCTGAATATTTCTGACCAAGAGACAACTTTACTTTGGGATAACATTAAGGAGGAACGTGAATAGTTTAACTAAATTTTGGTGACCTCCAGTCTTTCTAGTCCTTGGTTAAATAACACCACTCACTAATGAGTAACACCTGAGGGAATAAGTCTTTCATTCTGGTCCAATTTACACTTTCCTTTTTTGATCAATTCACTGCGCCTCATATTTGTGTCTTAGTGTGTTGCTAAGAACTTTCTGACATACTCTGGCAGAGATACTGTAAATATTCCCAAGAAAGCACTTTATGAATTTTTTGATCTTTCCCATTTTGATTGTGGAGTTCTGTAGCATATTGGTTAGAGCACTCGCCTCACAAGCGAGAGGACCTGGGTTTGATTCCTGGGCAGGGCGAAACTTTAGGCAAGTTTCCTTACCTCTGTTTACTTACCAATACGTAGGAACCTGATTGTTAGTCAATCAGTGGATCATTTTTCCAGGGGCAATAATCCCTTCAATAATAATAATTTGGTCACTCAATCCACAACTTTTTATGGGACACTGCTTTGCGCAATTGGCTGCCATGTTTCACCCACAAAACTCACTTTATAGTATATTTTGTGAAAGACTTTGAGACATCTCAAAGACATGATAAGGCGCTATATCAAATGCAAGTATTATTGTCAGAGCTAAAATTGCCTGTAGGATAGGTATTTATTCTTTGAAGTAGGAATTGATGGGCGTACACTTGTACTGTGGGTGTGACTGGAAATAACTCTTAAAAGGAAAACTACTGAATTCCATTCTTTTTGCTTATTTTGTCCCAAAAAACCCACCTTGGTGTGATTGAATTCTCAACCTACTAGATTTTTAATTCAAATTACATTTTTCATATTACTGTCCTAACCTCTCCCTCGCCAGTGAGTCAATAATTCTTTCATATCCTCCCCAATGGATTGATAAATCAAAATGAAATATTTATGTAAAACTTTTTTCAAGTGTATCCCTCACAGAGGATCAATTTTAAGATCCTTGTCTTCATTTTGAACACCCTCCACAGATTTGCTCTTCCCTACCACTACGACCTGCTAAAACCTTACCAACCTGCCCACTCCCTCTGCTCGTTGAGCATTGGGCTGCTTCACATCAGCTGCCCTACCTGCCCCATTGTTGACAGTTTGGCCTTCATCTTTTCTCCCTCCACCCTCTGGAACTCTACTCTGGAGTCCCTTTGCTTTGCCCCTTCCCTTACCGCCTTCAAAGCCCATCTCAAGACCTTCCTCTTTGACAATGCCTTTGGTCATCTCCCACCCCTCTTGATTCCAAACCCCAGCTCAAGTGCAAACTTTTGACTGTCCAGGGCCTTGGAACTCCCTTCTGACGTGAAAGGTGCTATATAAATGTAATTTGTTGTTAATTTGAGGAACTCTTATTTGTGTTTTGAAAACGAAGGGGGGAAGAAAAGAACTTATGATTTTTTTTAACTGTGAATGACACCACATTTGTCAAGCAACCGTGGACTATAATAAAATACGGTAAATTAGACCAGCTCTTTATTTTAAATGTAATATGAGTCTCTGCTTAGTCTCGGCTGTATTACTCTTCATATCTACATTTCAAAAAAAAATTCTCCTGCTTTTCTTTCCTCTTTCGGCTCGACACATTTGCTTGACTGGACAAACTAATCTTTTGCCCATCGTCAAGGTGGCATATTCTTTCCGGAATCAATGTTGCTAATTAGTGAGTAATCTGAGAATTGTGTAACTATTTTCTACCTTGTGTTTTATATACAATGTCAGCAGTTACATAGGACTGATGTGATGTGTACAGAACACAAAATGTGCTTCAGAAGTTTGCACAGTGCTTGAGGCAAAATAGATTCCTTATGCAGTGAGTGTTTATACAAAAAGGAATTGGTAATTCAGTACTGCCAATTTTTTGGGAGGTACAGTTCAGCTGCAAACTAACGTTTATAGCAAGTAAATGTTCTCTCTCAAATGGCCTGCTGTAGTAGAAGCAGGAAACTCTTCCTAAAATGCAATGTTGGTCTTCTGTATCCCAAAATGTCTCTCTTTCGCAGGCTCCTTTAACTAAAACATCAGTACCTGCCATCTGCGACATTCAAGTTGGAAGAAAGCCATCGCTCAGTAACACAAAGGGCCTCAGTGTCCAGTCTCCATCTGCAAATCTAAGAGCGCCACCTTCTGCATCCAAACTGAGGTTGGGAAGTGTAAACAAAGATGGACATATACATGGAGTTGTGCCAACTCCCAAGACAAAACCACTGTTCACCCCCGGTAAGGATACTTAAAACACATGAACCTCAAATCATTATAAATAAACAGCATGGCCTTATTTAACATTGTAGAGAGTACATTTTTGTTGTGTGTAAAATACTTTAATAGCATGGTTATTTTTTTACCAATGTGTAAATAATTCAAAGTAACGTTTGGCTACAATGGTTAGATTGTTTACTCCAGTTGATTCTATTTGCTTTAGTATCTAACTGATTAAAATAATATAAACCAATGAAAACATACAGATCTTGGCATTAATCTTTTCTTTCAATAAGCAGCATTCGAAAGCCAATCATGAATTGCCTAATTGCTTCTAATATTTGTAATGTCCCTAAACAGTATTTGTAAAGAGGCTAGGAGAAAGCATATTTTTAATTCTGCCTTTGTCCAAATCATCTGCACCCACTTTAAACTGATTTGCAGGCCCAAGTCTATTAATCAGAGGCATTGTTTGCTCATTTTAACTTTAAATCATTCTCAGCTGTGATTCAGACATAGGGTGCAGTTGCTGTTAACAGAAAACAATTTGATTAACTACCATTGAATTTCTTGTTGCTGTTTTCATTGCTTGTGACCTGGTAACGTGATCTAAACCAAACCTGGAATGTATTCAGAATGGGTGTATCCAGGGATTTTATTGCTAAATCATGACGTTCGATTCTATCAGTGCATCATTAACCTCCTGCATCCAGGGTTCAGAGACTCAAGAGCCCTATTGCCTTCAAAATTCTTTATTTGGGGATTTGTTGTCTGGAATTCCTTGTTACTTTTTCATTCGCCCCCTCTACTCATCTAACTTATTGCACAACCCCACTCCCTCTCATGCTACCTTCAGTAGCTGAGCTTTTAGTTCCTTCGCTCCTTATGTTGGATTTCTGATCCCTGAGTTTGAAATATGGCCCAACAATCCAAACTGGTGTAACAGAATTTATTATTAAACAATATTTAAAACACAAGCAATTACAGAATTAAAGGCGTACTACCAGATGATCCTGTAATACTTGGGCAGTTTCTTGCAGCAATTTAATTTAGTTATCTCTCTATGACTCATTTGGAGTCATAGAGAGTCCTGTAGCTCAATGGTTAGAGCACTCGCGTTGTAAGCGAGAGACCTGAGTTCAATTCCAGGCAGGGCGAAACCTTGGGCAAGTTTCCTTACTCCACACCCTAATAATAATCCCTCCAAAACCAAAAACAATAATAAATTGGTCATTTTCAATCTACGACTGTTTGTGGGACATTGCTGTGTGCAATTGGCTGCCGCGTTCGCCCACAAATATACAGTCAATTCACTTTACAGTATATTCTGTGAAGCGCTTTGGGACGCTATATCAAATGCAAGGATAATTATTATTATTTGGCAACTGCCCAGAATATAGAAAACCTCTCTTATGCCTAAACTGACCTGTTATGTATATGTAAAACATGGATTCAATGCTGTGACCAATCACAGCCCTTCTAGTCTGATTATTGACTTTTTTACCACAATCCTGATTTATCTCCTATCTTCCCACTCCACGGACCCTCGGCTATCCTGTACCAGCCACTTCCAGCTGGTTTAAGCTAGTCCTACTGCCCTCTAATAACCCCTAGTCTGCGACTACACTTTCAGCTTGGCAGGCAGTTATCTTTTACTTTGAGCGCAACCTTAGTTCCTTTAACTAAGCATATTCTAACACTTACCTCTGGAACTCTCTCCTTCTATGACTCTTTCCTGCCTCCTCTCTAAATTGGCTTCAAATCCTGCTTCTTGGAACACAAGAATAATCTATAGGAATATATGAACAGGAGCGGACCATTCAGCCCCTGGAGTCTGTTTCATCATTGTATTAGATCATGGATATTTCAATTCACCCACCTTTTCTCCATGTCCCTTGATATCCTTATATAGCAAACATGCTTAAGGACACTTCCTCCTCCCTATTTCCCCCAACTGGAATCCAACCCCATGCTTTTAAAGCACTAAGGGTGCTATATAAATCAAGTACACAAGTGCTATATAAATGTTGTTATTGAAGAAAGGTGGTGGGTTATTGGTACTATAGAAAAGTGAGGATTTATTGCTGTAAAATACAACTTTTTACCTAAAGAATTCCCCATTAAATATAACATACCCACTCTTTTGTTCCTTTAAGCTTTCACTGGCTGAAGCATTGCAGTGAAACAGATTGAGGTTTTAATTGTTCCAATCTGGACCTGGAGTTAAGGATTGAGAGTAGTAAATAGCAACACCTTCCAGTAAGTGGGCATACATCATACTGATTCATGGGCACTCCTTGTTGAAAGTAGATTGACTTTGTTTGAGTTAACAGAAGGATCTAATATTAACAATTCCCATTACAAAAAGCTGGAATTTAACCCCAAATATCTTGTTTAACCTAGAACTAATCACTCAGCATTTTAAAAAAAAGATCAAATGTGATGTTCCCTTAAAGTCTTTTCAATGGCTGTAGTCTACTTTTCTATGTTCTTTAGGTTTCTTTTATGTGGAATCACACAATTTAAAGGCATATTAAAACAAAACTTCAGAAATGTCTGCATCATTAAGGCCCTTTAATAGAGGATACTGTTTCGTTACACTCATCAATAAACTTTTATAAAGTTCTCCCTGAAGCAGTAAATGTATTTGATTTATGTAAGTATGCTCTAGTTTTAATTGGAGGATAGGTACCACAAGAAGCAAAGCCAGTGTTTTACCGAGGTATTTTAGGTATTTTAATTCGAGATTTCTTCACAAAGAACAGCTTGTTCAGTTGATAATTGAAACCAAATGAAATTCGATGTTGGCAATGCTGAGGAGAATTACTAAGGTTGGGAGGTTAAACACGAGGCACGTACACTTGAATTGTTCATCTGAAGTGGCTTGATCCATTGTAGTGCAGTTAAAGCATGAAATTAACCTTTAAACTGCTGGCAGTTCTGAGGTTTACAGTCCAGGAACTTGTTGGTTTTAATCCTGGTTTCTACTGAGTTTGCTGGTCTCGATTGGAGCATGGGAAGTCTAAAGTGGCCCCAGCCTTCCAGCCTTTCCAGGATAAAGCAAGTCAAATTAGATGGGAATCAAGTATCCTCCAATATGTGTGGCATGTGGGTGAGGGAGGTCAGATTTGGCTGTATCGCCCTCTACAGGTAAGAGTCCCACTATCATTTCTCTGGCAAATTACCCACTTTAATACTCCTTGGATTTAATAATCCTTGCATTTGGTATAACTCCTCATCACATCGGAAGGACAACTCAAAGTTCTTCACAGGAATTACTATGAAATGGAGTGACTGTATTTGTGGGCAAAACGTGGCAGCACAACTGCACACAGCAATGTCCTACAGACAACCATGGTGTGAGTCAGTAATTTTATTTTAGGGGAATTGTGGGCCAGGACACCAGGAGAACCTGGGAATTATTTATAAAATATTATATTGTTTTCCACCCTGTTCTCATTGATTTGAATTCAGCTTTGTTACACAACTCTATTTCAGTTCTAGATTGTCCAGAAAATCATCCTTGGGACTTTGTTTGAAGACAGAGCACGTGTTTGTCGGTCATGTCATTTAGACCTGTTTTGTCAAGCTACTTTCACAACTGAAGAACCCTATAAATGAATCATGGTTTAAGACAGGTGACCTTTAAAATTCTTCAGAGTGGGTTTTTACCCCTCCCAATGTTTTGTTTATTTGGAGTTCATCTCTTAAAACTCCATATAATGTGTTGACTTTTCATGGTGACGACTTTGGCAGCTAGGTTTGGAGTGAGTAATTGGGTTGAAAAGAATGTGTTTAGAGCTTTTCCTGATATATTAACAATTAATTATATTTAAGAAATCAGAGAATAAATGATAATCTGTGCATTGATATGGCACCTTTCACATTGGGAGGACGTCTCAAAACACTGCACAGGATTTTCTGTAGTGTGAAGTATAGGAACTGGATTTTGTAGGCGAATGGATGCCCAGAAACTATTAGTTCAGGAATAAATATCATGGGGAATAAAAGGTATACTTAGTTGGATAATTTAAATATAGAGTGGAAGCTGCTTAAGGTGGATGCTGGATAGCCTCGTGTGCCAAGTAAATCGGACAAAACACCCGGCCCCAATCCATTTGTATTCTTACCCGTTTAAATATGTAGGTTAATTTGGACAAAAATTGGGTTAATCCAGACATAATGCTGTGCTGCTGATTGGTGCTTCGTCAACTCGCTCCGCGATTCAGTCATGAGCGGCTCCATTCAGACTCCATCTGTTCACGAATGGCTACAGACTGTCAATCAGTGAAGAGGTGGAGGAACGAGAAAGATAGTGGAGATGAGAGGAGTCAAACTGCAATTGATTGACAGCCTGGAGCTACTCGTGACTGGATGGAATACCTACATTCCTTGGATTTTTTAAAAAGGATGATGAGCTATCTCATTCATTTTCTTTATGTAAAATGTTGTCCAACTATGTCTCTATGGTAAGAGCCTTTGATGGAGCAAACTTTTAAACTAATGCTATTTCCCTTGTGGTTTGTTTACTGTAGAACAGTTATACAATAAAATAAAATCAACGTGCACATTGCAAAATAAATCTTTAGGACACAAATATATGAAACGCTTAATGCATCATCTTTAATTGGCTATTTCCGCATTGTCATAAATTTTGAATAAGGGGGGAGAGAGAAATAGCCCAGTAGGATAAAAATTGCTGCTGAAGCAGATAAACCATCACTGGTTGGCAAACACAGTTATAGCCACACAGAAATTGATGCGACTGTGTGGGATAAGAACTCCAGAATAATACTGAACACTCAGAACTGCTCACAATCTTCCTAGCCAGGCTAAGAAATGGAGCTACACAATCAAAACCTCTACAGATTGTTTGTGGGTTTTAATTTTCTTTTGTTCAATTAAATGCATATAAGCTTCTTATCACAAAACATCATCCCAAGTTAATATACTCTGGCTCTTCACAGTTGATGGGATGGAAAAAATCTTACAAATTTTAAAGTCTCCGCAACTTGTGGAAA